AGATGCACTGGTACAATTCTTTTAACCTGAAAAGATGAGTAATAGAGTGAGCTTTGGAAAGCTCAGTAATACAGAACTACCATATGATGTTGATGAACGTGCATATACAAATAAATATATATTTCCTTATTGTTTCCGAACATTTATAGATTTTTATGCTGAGCAGAGATCCTACTGATATTTCAGGTGGTAACGGACAATGAGCTTTCGTTTCAGAGAAATATTTCAGATGACTGAGTTCAAGAGATCAGAATAGGTTATCTAGTGTGTTCCCAAAAACTATGTAACTTTTCAGATCTTTTTTAAAACATATATATATATACCCCCATCCCAACACAACATAATGTGTAGGTTCCCCAGAACTATACACCCAACCCAACACATCATATAAGGCCCTGAGCACAAAGCCGAAGAACCTGCGGAAATTCTTCCTTCAACAATACCCCCCATTTAAAACATTTTTCCGTCATTAAACGGAGATATCATAAATCAAAACAGAATTCAGAACAAATATCAGAACAAAATCCAGATAAGAAATCAATACAGAATTCAGGTTATGTATCAGAATAGAATTCCATTCGGAAATCAGATAAAATAATTATATGATTAGGGAACACGCCAGAGTTTACAAATATTATTCAGAGGTACTGGATAATCTTAGCAAGTAGAGAAACTCGGATCTTCAGTATACCGATAGAATGTCGGAATTTAGAATCACTATTATAAAAAGTTCAATAACTGACAGAATCATCAGTTATTCAGAATATGAATTATCAAGATCATATCTTATTCGGACAGTTTTCAGAAGTTGTACGTAATCAGAAGGGTATTCAGAATCTTTTACATCCATATCAATTGATCGAATAATCGAACAACTTAACAACGAAGATTCAGAACCTTAACAATCTATGTCGACTGGTCAATTCATTTTCCTTCCAGGGTATTTACTCTTTAATACCACAAATTCTTGTTCATATATCATTTTCGAAATTAACGTTGAATAAATCTTCCAATGTCTTTATTTCATGTTCACGCTTTCACCATATCATGAAATACTGACGTACTTGATTTTGTAATTCATAATCCATAAGAACATTACATCATATATGTTCATTAACATTTCCAGATTCATCCAACTCACTTATTCAATCCTCAGTCCTTGTGGTTACTTAATTTATTTAGCATTCAAGTCCATTCCAGATACTTCGGGATTTTCCAGAGTAATTCAAGCGTTCCTGATTTTCAGACACATGTTGCACTTCCGTTCCATTCAATTTGGTCTTCGTGGTTGATTTGTTGAACAAACGTTCAATTCTTAGTACTGAATGCGATCCAGAGTTGAGCTAAGTTGAATACTTCCAAAATTTATCATCGAGTCAAACTTAAGAAGACGAACACGCATTCCAGTAATATCTATATCGTTCAGGTACTGGCATATCCTTAAGATTGATCAATTTACTTAAGCTGTGATCCATAACTTCTAAAGGTAGTCCAACACCTATGCTTATTTGGATTCCTTAATTAATCCAAGGCATTTACTTAGAATAGGACACAAGGGTATTTTGGTAATTTTGGTGTTCATTTTTATTCTATTTATTTCAGAGCTCGAAGATATCCAATCATTCTTGAGCTTGGTGGTATTCTTGGGTCATTTCCATTACAGGGGTATTTTGGTCATTTTACAGATTCATCGTATTTCAATCATTTCGTTCCGTCTGATCTTACTATTAAATTCAATCTTATCATTTATTTCAGTCCTTTCGAACAATTATGACAACAGAACACCCTGACAAATTATTCTTCAGGTATTTACTCATAACTCGGATATTTCTGGGTCAAGTGTCTTCTCAGATTTTACAAACGGAATATCAAGAATTTTCCTGAACTAAGTCAAGATCTTAACAATCAAATCCGTACTTAATCGAGTTAAGTACGAATCCTCAAAGTATTTTCTCATTCAGGGTCAACTCGGACTATTTTACCTCTCAAGGGTATTTCTGTAATTTCTTAACCAGATAATTTCGATATTAGCTCTTAACGAAAATAATTATAATTTAGAGATCCTATGATTAATTGATTTCTTGAACACTCTCTGATCTTGAAATGATTCCCTTAACAGACTTCTAGTATCCTTCACAAACCCTCATAAGACTAAAAATCGGTTATCCGCATTTCCTAATCAAAACTAGTATTTCTTATGCACATCAATAATTTTTACCGGATCAATATGTCTTTTCAGAGTTATTAACCAACTTCCAGGGACAATTCTTGTCATCTTACAACATAAGGGTATTTTCGTAATTTTACCCTACCAGATTATTCTCACAATTTCTCATCCAAGTACCTTTAACACTTAACCTTTGATGAAATAAATTATAAGTTGCAGATACAGGGCTGATTTCTTTATCACTAATCACAAACTTGTAATTTAATCTAACAATTCCTCAATCTCTTATATTAGTCATTCAATCCGTAATCAGTTACAGAATTTCTACATCATATCGAGTGTATAAATTATTCAACTCCACCAAAGTGACCAACATTATCTTGTTCATGCATTTATCAATATCAACATATTCCATAAAGCATAAAGAGATAGTAAAGTATTACCTCAATTTTCGTGCAATACTGATCGACCATAAAAATTCCATTCGAACGGATTTGATCTTCAATTCAACTTCTAATAATTCCTCAGATACGTATCAACATAAATTATATCAAAAACGGAGCTTAATTACGATAAACGGGTCGAATCGGGTGATAAATCAGTGAAAAACAGCTTACCGGGTTCGAATTTGGCGAAACGGACTTCGGATTCAAGACATCGAAAGCATAAAATATGACTTTTCAGAAATTTGGAATTTTCGGTCAAAATCAAAGTCAACGGGTTTGACTGGAAATTTCGAGGCCTTCGAGTTTGAATTTCGAAAAACGGACTGCGGAATCGGATTTGGAACATCGAAAAATGTCAGGATAGGTATATTCGGTCAAAGTCAAATGTCGTTTAATCCCCAGTCAAAACCCGTCAAAGTTTTTGTCAACAGTGGTCAACGGTCAACTGTCAATGGGTCGGGTCAACGAGTCAGGTCGGGTTATGACCGGTCAAACCGGTCGCGCGTGGGGGCGCGTGAACAGTGCTAAATTCCCGAAAAAATTCCTAAAAATTATTTTGAGCGATTTTGAGATACTTACAAAGCTCGGTTCAAATTTTTGAACGGTGGAGAGCTCGATTTCACCGAATCGGAAACTTTGACCGCTTCACCTCCTTACGCGCCGCCGTCGACAGAGACCAAGGATGACACCGGCAGACTCGGAACGGAACAAGGAACACGATGGTGCGGGAGGTGTCGTAAACGGATGACCTGATCGTCGTGAATCGATGAAAAACCAACTAAAATCAAGTTATTACCGACGGTACTTCCGACTGAAATTAACGACGAACGGTGACGATTCGCGACGAAAGGTTTGAGGGGTTTTGTTCCTCGGTTGACAACGAACACGATGGTGGTTTCGGCTCGTCGATCGGAGGTCGAACGGCGAGTAGATCGGAGTTGAAAGGGGTTGTTGGAGAGGGAAAACTGAAAAATCTCTGTTGAACTTGCGCACGGGGAGTTCATAATTCAACATATAAAAAATGGTTAAATCATGGGTTTAGCCACTGAATTTCCTTCACTTCATAAAACGGTATGCCAACTTTAAAATTTTACAACTTAACTCACTGTTTCTTTCAAAATACTAATTAAATCCACCACTTTATAATTTCTTAAAATTTAACCCTTAAATTGGGGTGTTACAATGTTGGGATATAAGCTCTAGGAGACGTGTATGTTTTTCATGTCTTGTGCATGAGTTTGTTAGAAGTTCGTTGAGAGCTTAGAGGTTGATGAGCTGTCATTTCTAAACTGTTCTCTCTCACACACACCGTCAGCCTTTGTATTTGTATAAATAATTAGTGACTGCACTAATTATTTGTATAATAAAATTTTATATTTTATTTTATTATAAAGTTTAAATTTTAAGTCTAAAACATTAAATAGGATATATGTCATCGAAATATACATATTATATAAACTCTAATTTATACAATATGTGTATCAAATATTTTTTTTAAAATTATATTATTAATTTCAAAAAAGAAACATAAAATTAGAAAAATATAAATATGATAGAAGACATTTTGCAAAATAAACAAAATAGAATAGAATAACGAAGGATAAAGTGATGTAACAGATAAATAGGATCGATTTCTTCTTTTAAGCCTACTTAAAATTAAATAAGAAATCATATGTAAAATACAACCTAAATTAGGGTGAGTAAAATTATAGTTAATCATTAGTTGTTCCTGTGCTGGGAAAAAATAAATTTTTTGACTAAAAAAATTCAATTAGATTTAAAGTTTTATAAACTTGACTTGAAAATAATTTAAATTCAAGTCAGATATAAAATAAAACTCGAATAACTCAAACAAATTTATAACTAGTGGATTGATTTTCAAGTCTCAGTTGAGTTCTTTAACTCTGCATGATATATGTATATCACATATAAAAATATATGAAGAAATGTATATAGTATATATTATATAGTTATAAAATACCGTTTAAATTATAATTAAATAGTACCATAACATTACACTTATTTACAATCAAATTTAAACAAAAACTCGAACTCGAGTAAAAACAAAATTCAAATAAAGTTTGAGTTATAAAATGGGACTCATCAACTCGACTAACTCAATATATTTTTTGACTCGATTCGACTCGACTTCATTGAATACTTGCCCCTAACATGAATGTGATAGAATAGAATTAATAAGAAATGACTCAAAGTGATACAATGCGGAAAAAGGAAAGAATCAGAGTTCTGCTCTCTTTTATTATTAGTTTATCCAAATAAAGTTGAAGTAATATGAAAAATGTATCTGAGTATTCCATTTTCACCACAGCATACATTTCGTGTCATTGTGTGGTACCCTGCTTGAATATCATATCTATCAAAATAAGAGACAAAGTGATGAAAAATTCTTAAAGAACCAAACTGAAAATTCATACATCTTACAGGGACCGAGTAGTAAGCCGTAAAAGATATGTTCCTTATTGATTTCACGCGTATTTATTACATTATAAACATGACACAACCATGGTAGATCTGTTCCTCACTGTCCTTCTATTAAATATATGTATGTATGAGATGGTTGATATAATTAAGTAAAGGCATATTATTAAAATTAGTCTCCAACATTTATCAAAATGATCATTTTGCCTTCTATTCTATTTTCAAAGCATTTTGGTCTATAACATTTCATTTTAAAGCAAAAAATTCCCTAACATATGACAAAATAATCATTTTGTCCCTTTTTCTTTTTTGGGACATTTTTGCCCTCAACGTTTTATTTTAGGTTAAAAAAGACTTTTATTTTATGGCATTAATCATGTGTTAACTAATGTTTTCATTTATAGAAGAGTTTTTTGCCTCAAAGTCTAATGTAGACGGCCAAAATGCTCAAAAAAAATAGGGGTCAAAATGATCTTTTTGATAAAAGGTAGGGGCTATTTTTGACATTATGCCTGTCAAACATAAAGGATGAAAAGCAGGCATCAATTCTGTATGAACTTGAAAGGAGGCTTCTCAAGAGCTGGTGATGGATCAAACTTTCCATAGTCTCTCGTGTTTGCTCTAAGCACCCTTTCATGGGCTCCACTTCCTTCATCACCATCCTGTTTATATATTGTTTTTAAAAATATCATAAAATGAATCAACCAACATAAAGTAAGAAAAAAATAGATATGCAAATGATTAAATTTACGTACGGACGTAGTATTTTATGTTATGAAACGAATTTTTAAAATTGTAGAAAGGGACGATTGGACGAACTTATAAAATTAGAGGGAGAAAATAGATTTTCAATAAAAATATATATATATAGAAAAAATTTAAAATATATGATAATTTTAAAATTTCAGTGAACTACTCTGTCCTCATCCACCTCCTCGCTCCATCATCCCTGACTAAATTTAATGAAAAACAAAGTATGGGATTAGTTAAAAACTTTGGGTTTTTTATTTAATTAATTGATATGTAGAATTTTTTTATAACTATCGGTATTCAATTTATTAATCGATTAATTTAAATCTAAGTATAGTAGAGATTTTTTATACCATGACCCTATATATATATATATATTATATATATATATACACGGTATACCTCAAAGCCTGCATTTATTTCCTTAGCCATGTTTATGACCTTGGGTCGTCGACCTGTAAAAGATGATTTTCAGCATATAAATGTTGGAAGATAAAGTGTACACATACGTACATACATACATCATAAACCCTAATAGGACTTTGAAGCAAAAGAATAAAATGAATATTTTTCCATTTTACGAACTAATATTTTTTCTTCAGTTTTAAGCGACGAAATATGTATATTAATTACTTTTATACTAATTAGTAAGCTGCTGTTTCCTTCTTCGTCACTAAGAGCTTAAACATTTCATCGACAAATCGTGCATGAGTTTGAGCAGATTAAAGAAAAAGAAAAGAGGGAGATAAAGCTCACCGGCCGCCATTGAAGTTGATAAAAGAAAAGCTGAAACCATAAGAAAAAGTAGAACAATCTTCTTGTTCTGCATGTTTAAGCAATCTCTCTTCATTTCAAAGCTGTTTTCTTATTCAAGAGAGAATATGAAGCAAATGAGAGCTTATATGCATATATATATATATTGCAAATAATTCTACACTGGCTAAGAGTGGCCACTGGCCATTGAACTATGGAAAGAAAAAAAAATACTTGTATTTTATTGTGAATAATAATGATAATTATCATTTTAAGATAAAATATTTGAAAGGTTGTTAAAAAAGGTGGAGGAGGCCACTGTTCTTTTGTTGGGGCACTTTTTAATTTAATGACTTAGTGGATTATATAGTTCATTAAGGTAACAGTACTGAGATATTTGGTGAAAATCATCGTAATATTCTTTCTTGTCTTTCTCGTCTATGAATCTATAGAGTTTATTAATTCATATCTAATTATTTAAGTTCAAAATAAGAGAATATAAAGAGTAGTCTCAGTAATAAAGAGAATGTTGTTTTTCTTAGGTAACTCGGGTTTAAATAGTTTTATCTACAAATTTACATGAATTTATCCATATTTGAAATCGAATACAAATATTATGTTATAATCCATTTTTCTTTTCATTTTTTAGTTACTCTCGTCTTCGCTCTTCACATTTTAAGATATGTATTACCCCTCAATTAGTTAACAAATGACTGACATACATGTGTACATGTATTTATCATTGGATATGCTTGAATTAGCATTAGCAATGGAGGATTAGATTAAGTTCATGCATACATCATCCTCCACTTACATAATCCTATAGGCATGCCTGCTGCTTTAATGGAGTCTGAGTGTATTTATAAGATTACATGTTTATGATGTTATTTCATTGGAAAAGCTTTTTGAAGCACTTGTAATCATGCAAATTTCAAGTGATTTGATATATGATAATGTCTCTTTTAACTTGGAATTAATGATTTGCACAAGGGTTTTAGAGGAATATAGGTGTCAATCGTGTCTTTGATCATCCATTTCATCTAGTTGAAGATAAGCATTGAACACATACAACAAAGTTAATCATAGATACTAGATTCAGCACATTGTACAAGAATAAACAAATCCAACAACTTCCAACAAAACACATATATCGACAAAGAAGCGGATACCCATCGAGTATCGAGATGAATATGCCGGGGAACCGATGTTTATAGCTTTGTCGATGTTGATGTTTTTGACGAAGATAGAGGTTTGCAAAGAAAAACACAATATATGAAGGAAGATGGAGGTCGAAATATCGGTTTGATGGTATTAGAGGTTGAAGATGAAGTTGAACAGAGTCCAGTATGAACCAAGAACACAAATTACAACCATCTCAAACAAAACTCAGTATCAAGCTGAACTACAAGACTCTTGAGTATTTCGTACTTCAAAAATTGATCCAAGCGTTTTCAATCCTTTGGCTCGTAAAACCTGAACTTCCTTAGGTACATCAGGGTCTTCAAGTACCTGGATAAAAAAGAGATCTATAGCAAAAGATACCAAAATTTGCAATGATTTTTGGTATGAATCACTTGGATAAAGTTAAGGAAGAAGATTGTTTTCTACTCACTGCTAAGCAAACATTAGATAAGGTTGTTTCAATATCAACTACATTGATCTTCCAAAGGGATTGAAGCATGGCGTCCTTTCTATCTTCAAAGGTTTTCATCAAGTTTTCTTCTGATTGTTCTCCTTGTGTCGCTTTCTTCAGCTCTTCTTGTATCTGGATTAAATTAACAGCACCTACAAAAAGGAGATATACGTGAACGTACTTGACTCGTTTTCGTTCGGAAAATTAGAAGTCCGATAACAGACACAGGCCTTGAATGCCATCAAAACAAGATCTATGACCATTAAATTGCAGAACATTGTACCTGAGGCTGCAATTACTTGTGATATCATACGGTGACCTTTATCGCGCACCCATTCGGTAAAAAAGGGTACCATCATATACGTTTCTTTGCCGAGTTCGCTCGCACCTTTCCTCGTGTAAACATATCCTATAGTCTGTAGCATTTGCTCACCAAATGCTGGAAGTGTGGAGAAAACACAAGTTAATGGAAATAGTTAATATGTAATGGTAGTAAGTAACAAGCTTACCAGCTTTCAAAAGTCTCTGTGCTTCGGAATTTGCCCAATCAATGAACTCGGTGGCATAACCATCAACGTACGGCTGGATCCTGGTTTTCAGAGTTTTGATAAGCCTTTCTTCCCTTTCTTTCTGCAATGTCTGCAGGGGAATAGGGATACAAGTGTAACTTGAAAAACCAACACATGTAGAGGAAACAATGAAACTCAATGAAAGGGTTTTACCGCAAGCATTTCCTTAAGCCTTTGCAAGCGAGCTTCCCTGTCTAGTGAAGTATCTTCAAGTTCAACAGATGCCAAAGTAGCCATTTGCAGTTGTCCAACATATTCATCGAAGTATTCGCTTCCGAAAGCCATCCCGAACACGGCTGCAGGATCCATCATGGAGCCTCTGTCGCCGAAAAGAAGATGAGGTAACGTTGAAGGAACAAATAAGGATCGATCTAATTTTTTAATATAAGAATGTAACTTTGAAAATCACAATCAAAGGATATAAACTTACTGTTGGAGTCCTGCCTTTCCATGTTTGTCATATAGTTCCCGTTTTGAAGGATCACTTAGAACCTGGTACGCCTCAGAGAGTTCCTTCAAGCATATATAATCAAACGCCGAAGATAATTACCATTACATTGTTGATAAATAAAACAATAAATCGAACCAAAAATTAAAATATTATGTCACGGTGAACCACTGTCTTAGAAACAATATAACGATTGCTTACATGAAATTTCTCGTCAGCTTTTGGATCCCCGGGGTTTTTATCGGGGTGAACTTGCCTAGCCTGAAACACCCCACGTAAACGAATCATGCAAATAATAATTCAGAACATTTTCATTGCCCAGTTCGGATTTTCGACAAACACTTGGAGGGCAACTTTTACATCCACGAAAAATCCAGATTCTAAAATCATGGACGAATCTTTTATGGGGGGAAAACCCAGAAACGTAAACATGATGAGGATTCAAATGAAAAACTTACTTTTCGGTAATAAGCCTTCTTGACTTCAGCAGCGGATGCATCAACATTGACACCCAATACATCGTAATATGAGGTATCCTTCATCTTTGTTATAATATTATCTTGGCACTGCTTTCAACATTATAACTTAAAATTAAAAAAAATACAACAAGATTAATATTAATAACAATAATAATATCATAATTTAAATCAAGAATGGAACTTGCGTGTTGAGGAGTGTGAGATGAGGAGAACAAAGAATTGATTGATGATTTGTAAGGAAATGGAAGATGACTAAATTTCCTGTCATCGGTGATCGGATATAAAATGAAATACAGACATAATGTGAAATCTAAAGACAAATATAAATCCAAGATTTACGTGAGTGGAGATGTCTGGGTGTTCATCGGCTATCCCATGCTGTCGGAAACTTCATTGCTTCGTGTGTCCGTGTTGTAATGGACGGATAAACAACGGAAAATCCCTCTGTACCAAAATCTTGAGGAACGTTATAGTTAAAGAAATACTATAAAATTATTTTCGGCAATATGTAAAATTATTTATTGCATTATCAGATATGTTGTCTTCTAATTTTAAAGGTATAAATGTAGATGAATGATACATCATTCACAGTATTAATTAATTTTTAAAATAAAAGATAAAATATTCACCTCAATTTACCAAATAATAATTTTGACGTATTAAAATTTATGATTTTGTTAAAAAATATCGCAAACTATTCTTTATGATTTTTTTTGGCATCCTAATTCCAAGATTTCACCTTGATTAATCCGAATCGATTCAGATTACACACCTGACTCTAGTAGGTGAGTCTCCCAGTTAGAGATGGTAAACGGGTGGGGCATGTGTGGATACCCTTCCTCCATCCCTATACGCATCTAATATTTTCGTATCCACCACCTATTTATAATCCACGATGGGTAAATTTTTTAAATCCACACCCGCCCACGCAGGTACATTCTCAAATTCATCCTGACACTCACTATCCAATTTGATACCCACCACCCATCCCGTACCCGTCTGTACCTGTCTATATCCATCTTACAAAATACATAAGCAACAAAACATAAAATAAACTCGTTCATTAAAAATCATAATAAAATAAAACTAAGATTATTTGAGTTAAGGATTAACATATATTTTAAAATAAACTAAAATCTTAATAAATAAAAAAACATAATAAAAGATATAATTAAAGTCTAGAAACATAAATGACAAACACATGATATTTTTGCTCTTTAGCACAACATTATCAAATTTTAGGCAATATTTTGCACATCGATTACTCCAGTATTACAATCATCATTCTTTATGTCCTCCATTGAGAGCGTTTCAATTTAAATTCACCAGTACCTACATAAATTTAATAAAAGGTAAACTAATATAAGTTAGTAACTAAACTTTAATAAGATAATTAAGCACAATTTCACATATTAACATAGATTAAAAAATAATTTACCTTTAATATCATCCCAAAGTAAATTCTGAGTACACATTAATTCTTCAATCGTCTTCGGAAGTAGTTGACTACGATAAGGACCAATCAGTCTTCCACCCATGCTAAATGTAATGGGACAATGGAGACAAGAATGCTCAAAATATCATTTGCTATTTGTTGATAAGTGAATAACTATTTCCATTTGTTTTCCTTCAATTAAGAATACCAAATCATCAACAAGCGGTATGTTGGCAGTTTCCAAGTACTTGTCTAAATCATATTTTCTGAAATTTCATCATTATTGGAACACTCTAGACCAGTACGACACACAATCGACTGATTAGGATGTTACACGGAACCACCGAAATAACTGACCAACTTTTTCTTATTTTCTTTTACCATAAAATGGCTATTTTAAAAATCCACTCTTAAGAAAACATCCATAAAAATAAAATATAATAAAACTTTACACTGAAGGGCTCCCAAAATCAAAATAATACAGAACAACTTCATTAAATCTATTATTCAATTGGACAAAAATATTTACGAATATACATGCCCTTTAAAAAAATTTAAGACGTACTCTAATCTGCCCTGACCTGGACCTCAGTCACTCTACTGCTCCACCTAATATGCGTAAGGAAACAAATTCCAAACGCTGAGCTAACTAGTTCAGTGTCACACTAACAACTAAATCATACTAATTGTATATCACTAAAATACTCAAGCTATCAAGTTTACTGCTCTGTTTTACTGTAGTGAGTATGCTTATATACTCTCTATCTACTCTATGGTAGACATCATGGAGCGGCTGAGGGGTTGCATCTAGGAGCTCGCACACCCCTGTAGTCTACCAAGGATATGGCCCCCGAAATCTCTACATCAGACACTGTTGAACTATGTTTCGATATAACAATTTAAGGCAAAATGGTTTTTGGACTTGAATTGAATTTACAAAATTTATTTGGACTTAATTGAATGTATTCAAAATTTACAAAAATAATTCAAAGTTCTTTTAAATTAAAATTGAGCACAAAAATGTTTTTATGAATAGTAATTTACTATTTGAACAGTAATTTACTATTTGAACAGTAAATCACTGTTTGACACAGTAACCCGAGGCTCAAAAATTCCAGTATGTAAAAGGGGAACCGATTCCCCCCAAGGGGGTACCGATTCCCTCACTGTTCATCAGCCCAACGGTCATAATATTTGAATATTATGAAGGGGTATCGATTCCCTATGAAGGGGTACCGATTCCCCCCATTCTGAGCAGCCTGTTTTTGCAGAAAAATCATTCCCAAACGGCTCCAAAACATCCCCAACGGCTAGATATGACTTCAAACACATTTCAAGCTATAAATACAAGCTAAGGACACTTGAAGAAGAAATAGAACAACTATCCAAGCAATCAAACACAAGAGAAGAATTTTTCATTCTTATTTCATCTTTCTCTTGTATATATTTTGTTCTTGTGAGCTCAATCTTGTAAACACCTACCTTAGAGAGGTTTTCTTGTTTACATTTCTTATCTTTTTGTAAAGGGGAAAGGTTCTAGCTTATCCCGTGTAAAAGCTAGGGAAAGGTTCTAGTTTAGCCCGGAACAACTAGGGAGTTTGTAAGGTTACTCTTTATCCTCAAAAGAAAGAACAAATTAGTGAATTTGTTGGAAAATCCTTGGTGAGGAGCTAAGGTAGTGGACGTAGACTTTGTTTGAGAAAGTCGAACCACTATAAATCGCTGTGCAATTCTCTATCTTTCAATCTCCTTACTCCCTAAACACAAAACCGTTCCGACCCCTCTTTGCAAATCGTTCCGGTTGTCGTTTCGAGATTCCGAAAATCCTAACAATTGGCATCAGAGCCTAACTCGTTAAGAAGGTTTAACAACCTTGAGATGATCCTAGAAGAAGCTCTACCAATTCCCGACACAACCGAGAAGATGGCTTCCACCTCCGGCTCGTTCCACATGGAAGACTCCCTACTAACGGACAAGCCTCCATACTTCAACGGAGACAACTATCATCATTGGAAGAAATTAATGAAGGTATTCATCCAATCCAATGATCTTGATGTATGGGAGATAATCGAGAATGGCTACTCTTCTCCAAAGAAGAAGGAGAAGAAGCGGAGTGACAAAGAACGGAAGAAAGCTCAACTTAATGCCAAGGCCATGCACATGTTGTTTTGTGCATTTGGTCCTGAAATCTATGAAGGAGTTTCTTCATGTTCAAGTGCCAAGGAGCTTTGGAATAAGCTCAAGGAAATCCATGGAAACAAGAAAGAAGAACCAACAAAGGTGGTGTCTCTAGTGGCTTATGAAGAGCCTGAGGTATCTTCTAACTCAAATGAATTTAATTCATATACATTTGATGAGTTACAAGATACTTTTAATAGGTTATATTCGGAGTTTGAGACCATGAACTCCAAATATAAGAAAATGATTTCAAAATTTAAAATTGAAAACGATTTTCTTTTGAAAACAAAAATAGATTTTGAAAGCCAAAATGAAATGTTGAAAAAGGATTTAGAGCTTTCAAAAATAAAAATTGATAGTTTTGAAAAACAAAATTTTGATTTAAAAGTTAAGCTTGAATGCTTAACAAAAGAAAAAGAAATCATTTTAAATAATTCATTTAGTTCAATAATGACAATATGCTCACATTGTCATTATCATGGTCATTTGGAACATACTTGTCCTTTGAAGAAAGGAAAACGTTTTAAAATTAGGCAAGTATGGGTTCCGAAAGGAACAAGGGGCATTGAAACTAACGTCCAAGGATCCAAAGCAATTTGGATACCAAAATCTACTTAAATGTCTCTTGTAGGTGTGTGGGAGCAATGGTGATGAGAGTGATGATATTCAAGATGCTCTAGCCACACATGAAAAAGGAATGGGTAACCTCTAAGCTTAATGCTTTTAATTTAGGTTATTTGGTTGCTCATTTGATTTTAAGCATGCATGAGTTTTGGTTTTAAATGATTATGCATCATTGTTTTAATCTCATGTATGTTGAAAAGATGATTATGATGAACATTTATTTTTGAGAATTTTTAGTTCATCATAATGAATTTTGGTCAAAATTGGTTTTAAATGCTAATGATATCTCTTTAGCAATTGATATCAAATTTCAAAATACTTTGATTTTATAAATTTTAATTTTTGGCCTAAATTTGAATGTTTATGCATGTGGTCTAAATGAAAATGATATCTCTCTAGCAATTGATATCAAATTTTTAAAATTGCATAACATTTTTGGAAAACTTTATGCAAATGCACTTAATTTTAGCAATTGGTATTAATATCAAATTTCAACAATTGGTATTGCATAAAGTATTTTAGACTTGGATATATTGAATTTCATGTGCTACAAACATGTTTGTTATTCTTTTTAGAAATTCAATATTTTGTTTAAGTGTCAAGATCTTAAAAGCTTAATTTTGTTTGGAATACATTTATTGAGGGGGAGCATTGATTTTTCAAATGATTTTTAAATGTAAAATTTACTACTTACTCTCCAAAGTTATTTTAAACTTCAAAGATCGAATTATTTTTTTATATAACAAAAAGGGGGAGAAGTTTAGTTTGAAAAATTCAATTTCTTAATGAAAAAGGGGGAGCTTAACATTTTCATATGTTTTCCAACAACTAGTATCTTTAAGGGGGAGTTTTTGCCAAAAACAATTTTTCAAATATTTTGTTATATCAAAAAGGGGGAGATTGTTGAACTATGTTTCGATATAACAATTTAAGGCAAAATGGTTTTTGGACTTGAATTGAATTTACAAAATTTATTTGGACTTAATTGAATGTATTCAAAATTTATAAAAATAATTCAAAGTTCTTTTAAATTAAAATTGAGCACAAAAATGTTTTTATGAATAGTAATTTACTATTTGAACAGTAAATCACTGTTCATCAGCCCAACGGTCATAATATTTGAATATTATGAAGGGGTATCGATTCCCTATGAAGGGGTACCGATTCCCCCCATTCTGAGCAGCCTATTTTTATAGAAAAATCATTCCCAAACGGCTCTAAAACATC